TCCTCTTACACGGTCCGTAGTTCCTTACCAATTCCATAAAAATGTCTTCATAATACTTATAAATTTATTTGCCAACAATTGTTGAAGTAGCATACGAAAGTTTGTCCGTGTTTTCTAATTTTGTACTGGGTTACTACTAGTATTCTTTCACAAGTTCCGAAACAGTGAAGAGCACTGTTAGAACACAAAATGTGATAACGACGCAAAATAAACTGAGATTATAACATTGTGCATTATTACATTTTGCGTCGAGGACAACGCAGAATGTAATATTTTAAAAAGAAAAAACATACTTTTTGGATTATAGTTTGCGTTATTACAATATGCGTCAAGGTATGTAATGATCGCTTTTTTTATCTCCACAAATAAATACATTTTTCATAGAAAGTGGAAATATTTTGCAACAAAGTAAGTTTTCTTTATACAAATTTGACTACCTTATCCAAAATATTCCTTTTGCTTTCGGTATACGTTTTACATTGATCCCGAGGCAAAGTTTATTAAAACAAAATTTATTTGAATTATTTCATAATCCTTGTTAGCTGCCATAACAAGCTATAAACTATTACATTCTGCGTTGACCTCGACGCAAAATGTAATAAAGCACAATGTAATAATCTTAAATTTTGCGTCGTTATCACATTTTGTGTTCTAACAGTGCTCTTCACTGTTGCGGAACTTGAGAAAGAATAGATACGCATATTTTCAAACTTTTGGAAGTTTCTTCTTCTTCTTCTTCTTCTTTTTTTTTTTTGAATCATTGTTCCTATATCTCAAAATATTTTTACATGTGACTAGAATAAGTTTTAATTTTATCTACAACTCATAAGTTTATGTTATATTTTTTTGTAAATCCTGTTGCGCCTCGTGTAATGGTTTCTCTCTGAATTTGGAAGGGGATAAGTTTTTACATATAATAACACAAGTACAAAATGTAGTTGTCTCCAATGATATCTAATTTTTATATTAAATCCATAGACTGTGTTAATATATTTTACATTAACCTGGACGCAAAATGTAACAATACAAAATGTAGTTATCCAGAAAAGTGTTGTTTTTACATTTTGAGTTATTATATTCTGCGTTGATCTCCACGCAAAATGTAATAATATGTCATAATCTCAGTTTTTTACATTTTGCATCGTAATTTGCGTTGTAACAGCACATACCAATTCCAAGACGTTACTAACTCTTTTGACCAGATTTTTACCTATAATCTGTTTCTGTTTCAGATCGTCGATCATCCGCAGTCTGATTGAAATCAGTTGTTTGTTTGGCTACGTTTACTACGTACGCCACAAACTGTTTGTGGCGTACTACATAGTAAACGTAGCTAAACAAACAGCTGATTTTAATTAGATTGCATCATCCGATTCAAAGTCTTAATCGCTCAAAATCTGTCTTTGCCATTTATTTACCAATGCACGGCTCACTTCTGATATATTTCCTGGTTTCGCCAGCATTTTCAGAGTTTAGAGGTTTCCCAAGTGCAACAATATACATTTATTGACTGGGTTCGAGGGCCGTTAGGCCTCAGGCAAGACATAGAAATAAATGGGGGGGGGGGGGGATCTGCTGATGAAGATTGGCAGGGTCATATTGACTCAGGTGAGCGTTGTGACCCCTGGGCCTCTTTTTTATAGTTACTTAAATTCAGTTGCAACATGAAAGGTGAAACAGACTGCCAAACAGTGTATATTAACCCATAGCTATAAAAATGTTTGAAATAGAATTTCCACCTAACCTGATACTTGGGAGGGGGAGGGAGGAGAAAAAGGACGGTCCTGGCTTCATGTTAGCCCAAAGATCGAGGAGTCACGGGATAGTTTCGAGCATTTTCTGCGAAAATTAGAGTTACAGAAATAAAGTGTTTGAGGGTTTTATTAAAATTGACCAAAATGTTTTCTTTTATAATTGACAAATTGTAAGAGAAAGTTTAAGTGATAAAAATAAATGCAATATTTTAACTACCCATTTCTCGACTCTCTGATAGGATTTACAAGTACCTAAGAGTAAGAAGCCGCAAGTTACAGAAGCTATTGTGAAACACTGGTAGGACATGAATGGGATAGAAGTACAATCTTGTCAGTGGTGTATTATACTTCGTTGACCTTTTGATTTGATTACACTTACAATCGTATTTTTGTATATATAAGTTGCACCTGCACATTTTCAGAAATTTCCCTCGGGGGGGGGGGGGGGGGCACTTTTCTAAGTAAGCTTTCGTCTGTTCATGAGGGGTGTATGTTTCCTAGGGGGAGGGTTCAATGTCATTTTTTTTTCTTTACTTTACACAAAAATTTGATAACTCTGAAAATTCTATTGGGTCCGGCGGACCCCCTCCCGAACACCCTCAAAGATTCGTGCGTGAGTCACTTAATCAATGCGATTATAAATTAGAAACAATCAAACATCCTCTCAAGAGCGACAAGGCTACAGTTTGTGTACTCAATGTGCAAGTTCAGGTTTGCATAAATCGAGCCCAGATCATTTAGGACACATAAGACATACGTCTGTTAAAAAGGAAAACGACAATTTGTCAAAGTCTGCAAGCTTTGATATATACTTATGTGAAGTGGTTTCAAATGTTGTAATCAGTGCTCATTAGCAACATGAGTACATGTATATCTAGAAAGAAAAAAATATATCTTAAATGTGCTCAAGGTCAACATAAATTTTCAAACCGATCTGTAGAAGTTTATTAAGCATCGTCAATTCAAGGCCCTCTGTTTTACTGAAATTCCAGACATCAGATGACAAACTAAAAGTCTGTCGGTAGAACTTCAAAATAAAAATCAAGACCAACCACCACCACCAAAAAAAATGTTAATAATAACTTGGCCAAACTTTTTGGAGGATGGGATGGGGGGGCTTATATATTGTACCTAGGCATTTTGAAGTTTTATTTCAGTTTGTGTAGAAGTTTATTAAAAAATTAGACATTCAAATGATCTCAGATACGTGTATGTCATGGCCGTAGGAAGGGGGGGGGGGAGGGGGCATAGCTACTATATTTGCTTGTGCCCTCCCCCCCCCCCTTGTCAATAATAACATCTGATGGCTTGTCAAGTTGCAAAGAATTTTTGGTAGTTGACACTGCCGCCCCCCCCCCCCCAACTGAAAATGTATGGATGTGCCCCCATCAGAGTGAAATTGCTTCCTACGGGCCTGTATATTGTAAACATTTACTGCATTATGAATCAGTTTCGAGCCACTGGTAAGTCTTATTAGTTTTCAGTAACATTGTAATAATCAGTATATCATTTGGGAAATCGATTTCATCATAGACCTAAACAATAGGTCTTAGACTCTATGATTTCATTTACCGCTTAAAATAAAACATGTACCTAATACAGCCCTGGCCTGCTTCATCTTTATCTTGTAAATGAATTATATACGTATATAGGTTTTTGTTTTCTATTAAGATATAAGTGAATCTTAAACTCTGGAATTAATCATTTTTTGAACACTAAGCGCTGTCAGGGATTCCATCATTTACACTGCGTAATATAACTTCCGGTTAATTATCAAAGACGATATGCACTATTTTTTTATTTGTTACAAACTTTATATGGAAAAAAGCATTCTCTTCCAAATCAACGAAACCTGTATTTGTGAATATAGATCACGTTTATTACGCACTGTAAGTATTACTCACTAAACTTTGCTTCTGCAAGAAAAGTCTTTGGCTAAATAGGCTAACTTATTTAGTTAAGGTCACGATCTAGTGAATGAAAGGTGCCCACAGATTTCTCAAATTTGAGATACACATTCTTTTAATGATTCTTTACGAATATAGCTTGGTAGAATAAGGTGTATCCGGACATAGTTTTGGGGTAGACTCATCGAAAGCATATTATAAACTGCCCATTTTCAATGAAAAATGAAGAAAGTCTGGTATAAATATGGGAGTTTTTTCCATCTCAGACAAAGGAAATGTATCAATATTGCCTACAGTCTCTCAGAAAACGGTTTTTCATATCTTCTTGATCTCTACTTTGAAATGATATTAAACGGAATAAGGGTATCGGTGTTACATTTGGCATGATTTCATATTTGATTCCATGAAAGTGCTTTATTTTCTACATAATTCTATTGAAGCCGTAAAGTACGGGAAAAATTAAGTTTAAATCAATTATGACGTCATAATGAATATAGCACCAAGAAGAAAGTCTAAGCTCATTTACTAGATCTTGACCTTAAACGACTTACCGAGCTTGCTTTAAAATTAAATCCAAAAAAATTATATGTATTTAAAGGATTAATATTGTTGATATATTTTATAAAACTGTGATTTTTATTTTAATTTTCTTTTTTAATTTTTATTCATATATTTATTTATTTATTGTAAAATCTAATCGTAAATTTTAACCACAATCATGATAATGATTAAATATTATATATAGTGGATATAATTCAAGCCAGAAATGTCCAAATTCCAACCTTTCTGGGACATCACTCTAGGTTCCGGTATCTACCAGGAGTAGGGAAAAGACGATCCTAAATGTCCAGCCTTAATCAGAATCTTTAAAAAAAAGTGCACTCTTTCTCGATTTATTTATCCGTATATTTAAGATGCCATCTCAAAATATTACAAACCATGTGTTCCTAACTTATTTTTTCACTGCTTCCGCAATAAAACATTCCCCAAAACCGTTGTTAATAGCCCTCCTGGGCCTGAAATTCGGTCCAACGAGCTTCGTGTGTTATTTGTACATACAGTTTTGTTGTGGAAGTAGTAAGAAAATATGTTAGAAACATGGTTTGTAATATTTTGATATATACAGAGAAATTAATCGAAAAACAGCGCACTTTTTGGTGCGCAATAAATATACACTTTTTTCAATGAGTGGCACTGTAGCTCTCTGGTCGTCCATCCCAATTTATTTCAGATCAGCTAGCTACAAATCTGCAGCTAACATCTCCCTTGTCTGTAGATAAAAAAGATAGATCCACCCATGACATTTCAAGTAATCAGGATATTCCGGGAAAGGAAAGAGGATTATGGGACTGTCTAGAAACACGAAGTGTTCTGCATTTTACGTCCCTGATAATTATAGTTTTATGTAAGAGGAATATATTGTGTAGCCCGGAAGGACATCTCGTCATTAACATGGTACTTGAAAAGTACATCCAAGTCAAGAGTGGTATATTTCATAGCAAGTTATCAGGTTAGTCTTTGTCATGGCATTTCGATATCTTCTCAAGATATTTTCTCTTTGTTTCTTTCAGTAGTAGATAGATTGCAACTAGATTATTTCGTTAAAAATATGATACTGTGTTTGCTTCAGTAACGGATATAATTTATAGAAATTTTGACATGTCTATTGAATGTTAGCCAACAGGATGTAATCTTTGTGACCTTGTCCTCAAGCTGTTTTATCCGACTGTTGTACATAACCATATGATGCAGCTTCTGACGATTTGTTGATTTCATAGTTATAATCACTGCCATTGTCTGTCGATTTGAAAAAACGAGCTTGCAAACAACATTCATGTACAGAGAAAAAAAAATATATGGCATTTATGTGTTTTGTCACATGCACACACAATTTCCGTGTTGTTACATCTCTCTCTCTCTCTCTCTCTCTGAAATCTCTTTAATCCTGAGTGATTAATTTTTGTTATTGCTCTAATAGGTTGGTGAACGCTTACCTTAACAATGGTCATTTACCTTTGACTCCTCACATGTATCATTGCAGTAATATCACTCAACTTTTGCAGCAGATTGCTCATACATACATGTATCTATCTGTTGGTCTTAATGCAACATTATTTAATCAGAATTAAGGACCAAAGAAAATATTTATTTTTATCATAGTATATATAATAAGGCTCAACTATGCCTCCATTGTATACAAACATTTGCATAACGCATTTATTTACAAAGACTGAGGTTACAAAGCACAACATTGTAGTGACGAGTTTTTTAAAAAAAAACAACTTATTTTTTAATATGATACATTGCATCTAATACCCATTTTTGAGATATATATGATCCCTTGTCTATATTGGACAATGTAACATTAAATTCATTATCTTTTAAGTACTGCGATTTGTGTATTCAAAGAAGAAAGGATAATATACTAGGTGTCTAAGGTGTGATGTATCAGCAGACCTATCTCCCCTTTTTGTTGAACATGGTGATGGATCAATCGAAATGAAATAATATTTTTTAAAAAAAATTTAAAATGATGAGTTTATCAAGTTTTCAAAAATTTGAACCCCGGCTGCATTGATCAATGAAAACAATGAAGTATTTGTCACAGTTATCAACCATATATAGCATAGTGATTTAATTCAGGCATTGTTTTGATTTTACTCATAACCAGCTGTTTGTAACAAGCATTTCATATTCGTTTAGCCAGCAGCAATGTAAAATTATCATCCAAAAAGATGAACAACCAGGATAAGTTACTCTTCACTATCGGCCACATAACAAGCTTCCAATCAAATAATATGAAGGGGCATGACAAGACAGGAAATGAATAGTTACTTGATGTTTTTAAAAGTTTCTTTTTACATACTGAAACTTTATCCTTGCCTTAAACATGCCATTTTTAGGTCACGTAAAAATGTTTACTTCGCCAAGTACGAAATATTCCTTCATTGGAGTGAATTTGTAAAATACTTAAAACGTAAGACAATTTTATGTTACCCTGGGGTTACTAGATCTTACCAGAACCTAGATTTGATATGGTGTTTACAATCGGCCAACGACAGTGAAGAATGTGTATGTAATAGAGTCGTGTTGATATTTGTTTTAATTTTTGTATCCACCTTTTATGGTACACGCTGCCTACGAAAATTACGTTGCAGTTGATACTGTGAATTAAGTTGTGAACAATTATTTTGTGTTTTATACTTGCTTGCTGCGAAAGTTGCTAACAATTATGTGTACTAATATATACAGTATATTAATATTTATATACTAATACTTGTTATCAAGAAAACTATGCCCCGAAAGTCCCTGATCTGTTATGCGGTATATATATTCTACAGGCGATATACCCCGAGATGAACGCCCCCTTTTACCTATAACTACTGACTATATCCATCTAGCTTTAAAACACTGGATTTTAAAATGTGAAATACATACATAGTGAAGATCTATGAACTCGAGCTTGAAAAAAAATCGGTAAGAACCACGTGACACGATCTTTGCAAGGATTGTGCGACAGGTACGCTTAGCAGTGGTGATAATATTGTGTTATACGTACTCGGTATACACGTTCATTCTGTACGCCTTAGATAAAGGGGGTGACGCCTTGTCTTCATTGAATATGGATTTATTGTAGACCAGAATTTAGAACAGGTAAGGTAGGACTAAACAGGTGTAAAAGTCATGTTCTGGTTTATTTCTGGTGAGTTACACGGGTGAATGCACACAAGAAGGTCGATTATTAAAATGGCAGTGTTGACCGTCGACTGCATATGTCTTTGAAAGGTTAGTTGTCTTAAACTAAGAGTTTGTGTTGTTTTACTGTGTAATTGCATGTAGTTTATCGTTTGTAAAGGGAAATGTTGACAACAGTTCTGGATTGATTTTTTCCGGGTGGTTTGTTTACATTTCTAAATCACTGTTAACACTAATACTACATATTTATGTTCGCGAGCCATTCTTGTTAGAAGTGTACAGACAACATCATAGAAATAGGCTATTCCTGTCCATTTCTGTAGAAGAGAGTAATGGAAAGAATGTTTATTTAGTTGTAGAAGAGATGCAAATCCCTGTTTGAAATGTGAGCCAAACAATAAACGATAAACTCCCAAAGTCAGTCATTCATATACACTTATTTACACGTGTTCATAAACATGATCAATTGTTAATAAAGGCCTGGATTTTAGCAGTTTGTATGACCTTAGAAATGAATTGCAATTTATTGGAGCAGAGCTAGGGAAAAAAATGTTTTATTTTATATACGATTCGTGTTTTATCAAATGTTACTGGTCCAAATCCTGTCTCTTTTAGTTTGATGGGAATGACATCTGCTTGCCCCATGAATCTTAAATCACCCACAATAAGTATCACAAGGGAGGTATTAATTTTGTATGTTTAGATGCAGAGACGGGAAGTTCACCACCACACACATTGGTGATACTGTATTTCAGTACAGAATCCGACTTGTGAAAGGTCTCAAAATTGATTCTAGAATATTTCTGTACTTACAAATCACACACTCACACACAAACATACACGCACATACAAACACACACGATTTGAATCAAAATACTTTATAGTTTAACATCGTTCCTAGTGTCGATCTTAAATGTCTGAGTGAATATTATAAGTTTTTAACATGCATGTACATATTTCAAATAAAGCAATTTTTATTCCCTGCTACTGCTAGATAGTAGATAAATGCTGATTTAACTTTCCCTTATTTGAATGCATATAATGTAGGTTAATTTCAATTAGTTCATGAAGTTATACATGAATTTTAAAAGGAGGCTTGAAAAACTAAAATCTGATTACATCTTCCTCTATTTTATGTTTGGTTGTGTTGAATATTAAAATATCCCAACTAAAATCAATATTTGTATATGACAGTGTAGAGAAATTTACAGGAAACATCGATATGTAAATTGATTTTTATGCCCCGGATCGAAAGATCCCGGGGGTATATTGTTTTTGTCCCGTCTGTCTGTTTGTCTGTTTGTCCGTTTGTCTGTTTGTCCGTTTGTCTGTTTGTCTGTCTGTCTGTTGTCAACTTTAACCTTGCCCATAACTTTTGATTGGTTGGAGCTCTGACTTTCATATTTCACATGTGTATTCCTTGTGACAAGACCTTTCTTTGGGTACCATCATATTTGACCTTTTGACCTTGACCTTGGAGTTTGACCTACTTTTGCAAAATTTTATGAGACTTTAACCTTAGCCATAACTTCTGAACAGTTGGTGCTTGGGGTTTCAAACTTCACATGTGTATTCTTTGTGACAAGGCCTTCCTTTGGATATCAACAACTCTGACCTTTTGACCTTGACCTTGGAGTTTGACCTACTTTTGAAAAACTTTAACCTTGGCCATAACTTTTGAACAGTTGGTGCTTAGGGTTTCAAACTTCACATGTGTATTCCTTGTGACAAGACCTTCCTCTGGATATCAACCACTTTGACCCTTTGACCTTGACCTAGGAGTTTGACCTACTTTTGAAAAACTTTAACCTTGGCCATAACTTTTGAATGGTTGGTGCTAGGGATTTCATACTTCACATATGTAATCCTTGTGACAAGTTCTTCCTTTGGATACCAACCACTTTGACCTTGACCTTGACGTTTGACTTTTATTCAAAAAACTTTAACCTTCGTCATAACTTCTGAAGAGTTGTATCTAGGTCTATCAAATTTCATAGGTGTATTCCTCGAGACAAGACCTTTCTTTGGGTATCAACATTTCTTATCTTTTGGCCTTGATTTTGACTTGCATTTGAAGAAACTTTAACCTTCGCCATAAGCTGCCATACGGGGGCATCAGTGTTTCACAAACACATCTTGTTCTGTACATTACAATTGTTTAATCTGTGTATGTTGTCTGTTTAGGTATCGGGTGTGGAGTGTGAAGGTGAGCCAGAGGCGCAGGAGGAGAGGATGACCAGTGTCTAACGAGAATGAGGATCCATCCACGGAAGGTCGTGACCTATGGTCTTTTTACTCTGGCCATCTTTTTTGTGTTCCTATTTTACAACCAGAATAAGCTGGCAAGCGTAGAAAATGACCCTCCGTGGAAAGATTCTGTCCACAAACGATTACTACATATGAAAGTAGATCCACATGGTCGATTCCACAGTCACGTGATTCAAGATCAGAAAAAGACACCCCAAACAACAAAAATATCTCGTTCTCTAAGCTCCTTGCTTTGGCCATCTTTAGAATATTACGATGATGACAGAATTTTGGCTCAAATGGCCCATCGTCCAAAAAGTGTGCTTAAAAAAGAGAAAAAGGGCGAACATGTTAAGGAGAAAGTTATTTTAGTTTACCACGGTTATGGAGCTTGGGGTGTTCAACCAGGACGTAACCAGTTCAAGGAGCAGAAATGTCCAGTTCAGCATTGTCATGTGACCGACGATAGACGCCGAATCAATGATGCGGACATAGTCATGTTCCACCACTCACCCTCCAGACCTTGGGCGGCAAGGCCACCAAACCAGATCTGGCTTTTATTTTTGCTGGAGTCTCCCTATCATACACCGGGACTGAGTGGCGTCAATGACGTGTTTAATTGGACGGCAACGTACAGACATGATTCCGTCATAGTAGCGCCTTACGAACGTTTTACTCTACACAATGAATCAGTTAGAACGTTACCGCTTAAAAAGAATTATGCTGAAGGTAAAACCAAAAAAGTGGCTTGGTTTGTTTCAAACTGTGGTGCAAGAAATGCCCGTCGTCAATATGTAGAGGAGTTAGCAAAATATATACCTGTGGATATTTACGGTGCTTGCGGGCCATTAAGGTGCCCGAGACACAAAGCTAACGATTGTTTTTCAATGCTCAGTAAAGACTACAAATTCTATCTATCGTTTGAAAATTCCAATTGCCGAGATTATATAACGGAAAAATTCTTTGTGAACGGCCTAACGTAAGTATTCAGAGCTTAATTGTTTTAACATTTCAAGCCAATTTTAGAATTCAGAAGTTTTCAAGCTCCTGCTTTTTGAGGCTTATATGTAATGCATATATATTTGACCAGAAAGCTTTACCTCCAGATATAGTATATTGGATTATGATTGAAGTAGTGTTAACTGTAATACATGACATTACGATGACAAAACGGCTCGAAAAATTCATAGGTTTATATTTAAGTTGTTGATAGAATGATAAAGAAAACCCGTACTTACTCCACAAGACGTGTGCGTATGATATACCAGTAAGGCCAACTTTAAAATAATGTTTGCCCGGATGAAAAAATTGGGTCGGTAGGTAGGTGAGATTTTTTTTGTCAGAAATTTTCATCATCAATGCTAAATTTTCAAAACCTTTTTTCCGGAATGCATAAAAAAATAAATGGTTCCTGGAGGTTAAAAAGTTTTGAGTCGAGCCATAATTAGCCAGTTGATCAGGAGAGGGCAACCAAACAATTTTTCAAAGATGGCCTAAAATATTTTTTAACTGGATGCGAGCTCGTCGAATCTAAAAATTTTCAAATTTTAGTATAGAAATGGTCCATGTATTGCTCATCGGAAAAGTCACAGTCACAAAAGTAGTTATATTGTTACATCGTAAGAATCTGAGTGCATAGCCAAAAATGCTGGTCTTCTCTAAAGAATCGATGCAAATTATCTTATGTTAGAGATTTCAATGAAAACTAATTCGGAAAATAACTTGCATTTTGAGAGTTTTTCACGAGAAGAAAAAGCAATTTCTTCATTTAGGAGACATGATTTCCGCCTATCCTCTGCACTATTTACAGTTTGAGCGCAATTCAGTTGTTATTCGATATTGAGAAGAACCCTCTTCCGGTTGCGGATAATTTTGCGAAATGGCGCGTAAATAAAATATAACGAATAAAATGTTATAGAAGGTACACACATCAAAAAAAGGCCACTCTTTAAAGTAATACACGTATAACAAGTACACGTGTGTATTAAATCTAGTGCTCATAGGTAAATAAAACCAGTATTTCATCTACTTTCAAAATGCCATATATCCATGTAATATTAATGAGATGATAGCTAATAAAGTTAAAGACACATTTCTTTATTAGCCCACTAATAGCCTAGGCCTGAATCTTATCATAATTGAGGAAATTTGTTCTCTGTATAGCATATAACGTTAGCAGTGTGAATTATTGATGAACCGCCACACATAACAACTCTGTTAAGAGACGTGCTACAATCCACATTTTGACAAATTTCCAAATACAGTTACGTTAGAAATTCATTATTTCCTCCGAAGCAAATAATTTGCACTTTTCAACATTCTATAATGCACACTATGCACAGAAAAAATATGCAAACACAAATGAAAAATTCATGATCGTTTTGTTGATTTGTTTTATTTATACATAAGTTAGTACCCGCAATGGGGTAGTTTATTGAAGGTTTGAATTTGTAATTTTTCGAATCAATTTGTCTTTATGCGTCCTGTTTTAAAAGAAGAAAATATTTTATCTTTTCCTTGCTCTAATGCAACGAGCCCCGAACTTTTAATTTCCTTATACTCACTTGATAAACTTTTTATCCTAGTTACAGTGACTTCAATATTTGAAAATTCAATTAAAACCAACAGGAAATAATTGGACTAATATCCATGGCGATATAATTGTTCATTTTCTGGATGAGTGACCAGGTTAAAGCTTTTGGAGCAGATCTCATTTCTAAGTAAATGTAAGTCCTACGTTGACCAAACTTGCATGGATGATACATCTAAGGATGCACACTACTAGACTTGCTTCGGATGCTAGATCCTGACCTACATTTTCCAAATGAGTGACCAGGTTTTCAATTTTAGAGCAGGTCCATTGCCAAGAAACTGTGAGGCCTATCAGAACCAAACTTGCATGGATGATGCATCAAGGGATGAACACTTTGAGACTTGCTGCAGATGCTGGATTTGACTTATTTACTGAATGAGTGTCTAATTTAAAGTTTTTAGATAAGTCTATTCCCAAGAAACTGCAAGCCGTATCAGACCAAAATTGCATAAATGTTGCATCTCGGGATGCACACTCCTAGATTATTAGTTTAGTGTGGGACTTTGCCTTACTTAAAGAAAACATTCGTTAGGGCGAGCTCTGTAATCTCTGATACCCTATGTTTTTTTATCAATTAAGATTCTACGTAGCCCAGAAGACTTATTTGGATCTGCATTGGCATTTTTTTTCGAAGATTCAAAAATGCTTAAATTGGGAAGCAAAGCAAATCTGCTCTGTATGCCAGAGATATTGGCCTTGGCCTTTTCCTATAATGTTTAGGCTATTTGGTTTCGTGAGATTATCATGTGCAAGTCTGTTTCAGACTGCTAAGAAACTAGTCCATCATTCATCTTCTTATCCAATTACGTAGAGTAGAATTCTACGAAGGGAAATATACTGTGTAGCCAGAGAAGCCACCACTAATTTTGATCAGTTATTGAGTTTGGTCCAAATAAACATGTAATGTTCAGTGTATTTTCTTTTTATATAAAAATGGTTGCATTTTGTCTTTTGTCAAAGTGATAAGAAAAAAAATGTTATTTCAGGAACGATGTATTACCAATAGTAATGGGTGCAGCACCAGAAGATTACCAAAGGGCGGCTCCATATCACTCATACATTCATGTGGACGAGTTCGAAACTCCTAAGGATCTCGCAGAATATCTTCATAAACTAGACAAGAATGATTCGCTATACAACGAATACTTCAGATGGAAGGGCACCGGTGGAAATATCAACACGTTTTTCTGGTGTAGAATCTGCTCCATGATTCATGAGGTGGGGGAAAATAACCATCCGATTGTTTATCACGATCTCGAGCGATGGTGGCGCGGCCCTGGCGTTTGTATCGGTCAATCGCGGTGGCGGGATAATATGAAAAGTAGAAAGAAAATCATAATAGACAAATATTGATACTTGACTGATAAAAGTGCGAATAGACTATGGCATTTCGATGCATTGTGTACGACTATCTGTAATAGCGCTACAAAAATGAAGATTGTTTTATTATTCATATTCTCGAATATTGATCGTCAAGATGATATCAAATGTCTACTTGTAAACAGCATTCCATATTGCAAAACATTTATTTTTCTATAAATGTTCAAATGGTGATTCTTTTCGAGGGTGCAGTGACACGTGACCGGATGTGATTGTGAGTGCTTTATTGGATGTATTCTTCCTTCTGTTAGTGATTATCGTTTAAGAATCTCCACCGCTCCGTCCATGTATTACATGCCATAATTCACGTGGTCTCGCATGTTACAGTGCACAGGATGGAGATAGGTTAGTGTGAACAAATGTATCTTTGATCAAGCTTGGGGTGCAAAATGGATTCAAATTCCTTTTTCCCTCTCACAATTTTTTCCTTTACGTTTAACTTACATCTATGATTTTATTTTTTATTTATATACATGTAATACTAGTGAAAAAAGGGGGTGTAGTAGTTTGAAACTGTTTACAATGTTAAGGTTAAACAATACTAGAGTAGTACATGTTTGTCATCTTAACAGGTCTGTGAATGTCAATCTTTGATTTCTCTGCTGTGACTTTTTTCATAGCTTTAATATCTACAGAAATCCATTTCATTTTTTTCTTATATTTTTTACTTCGCTTTTTTTTCCCCATCATCAATCTGTATTTTATACTCTTAGTCCCAGTCCAATGAGATGTTCAGAAATTAGTTGTGCGTAAACCTCCAGTAGTTTATTTATCTTTATTGGGTATGTATGTAGAATAAGTAATACATAAATCTCCAGTGGTGTGTATGTAGATTTTATGATTGTGACTATATGTGTTTCCATTCTGGAAAACTGATTGCGGAATGCGTTAAATATAAGCAGTAATGTGTGAATTAATGAGTCATTCCATTGCAAGATTTCTTCCGAAGACATGCATTGTTAACATTTAACAGAACAAATATATCAATATTCTAGTTAGTGCAATGGAATTGAGCGTGTATTGAAAAATGATATTATAGTTGAGGTGCAAACACGATTTATCGAACTCTTTTGTTTTTCTATTAGCATGAACAGGATATTCTTTGTGACAGGGTGGTATTGTAGATTTAAAACTCCAGATAAACAGCTGAACTGCTGTCACGATTTATATTCAGTCGCTGGTAGTTAAGTTTTATAGTCAGATATTGATTTATACTTAGATTTTTTTTCCTTTATCATGAACAGCTTGTTATCATTTATTGGTCCTAGATAACTTTTAGTTATAAATTTTATTGGAGGAATTTCAATCGTTATTCTTTATCACACAAGATAAGAAACTGTTTCCAAGATATAAAACTCATTTGTACAATGGTTTCGGGGTGGGGGTGAAATGTAACAGCTCATTTCAGTTTTATAAAACGCATTTTTATGCTGCAAACTCAGCAAACATTAAAAGTGAAGTGGGAAGTTGCACCAGTTTTAATAATGATACAGAGAACAAAAACTGCATTTTCCAGAATATCATTTTACTGTGCTTGTATTTAAGATAATTTTTTGGTAACAAAGAATTGGCATATATAGGAATTTTTATCATTATCACAATGTGGTTATCGGAGCATAAGTATTGAGGGGGAATTGGAGCTTTTGATGCACCATGTAACAGTTGTTGACTGAGACAATTGTGTCATTACTTACGAAGCTTATTTCTTTTAAGTAAAATTGTGATGAATTGCAATATTTGTCATATTTTCCTCGAACTGTTTTAAATTGTTTGAATGACATTTCATGTTATTTAGTTTCATTGCTGGTTTGTAAGTTAGTATGAGTATATTTACTTATTTGTTCTCCTTACGATGTCTGTGTTAACGGTATGAATCATTCCAGTGTGATTACATTCCAATTTTTTCTCACCAGAAAAATTATGTATTAAATGTATAGCTGCTGTAAAATAAAGAAAATTAAAGATACTTAAATATGCATTATTTTGGGTTATTTTTAGCTCGCCTGAGACTTACTTTTCTTATGAAAGCTGGATAATCAACAAATTACCCAACAAATCCACCTTCAAAATATGAAGTATGATTTTTCTAGACTTTATTTGATAAAGAAAAACACTTTTAAAGCTCATATTAAATATTTAATGCATTTTCCTTTATTCTTATATGGATGTCTTCTTTTCCAGGATGTTTGTTTAAAAATAGCCATGACCACCCAGTCCTCTACATTCTGTCTATATAGTCCTCTCCATTTTGGTCTCCCTCTCGCTTTCATTGCGGCTTCACACCATGATCTAAATTCAAGTTGTTTCTTCTTGGTCTCTTTCGTTATTTAAGTGTCGATATTAAAGCTGTTTTGGTATAGCTATATATGTTCTCATTCTTCGGACTTCTGGATAAACTTTTAAAGTCTTTTTTCATATTTTTATGTTGTTTATAATGCTTTACGATTTTAACTTCTCTAAGAATACTTGGAAGGGAAAAAGAAACTATGGGTAACAGAAATTTAAATTAATTTAGAGAAATGAGACCCTTTTTTTTTCAAGATATAAATAAGACATTGCAAACGAATGGAGGTCATTTGAAAATGCTTTTTTTTCCCTAGAACTCCAGAAGAATAGACCCCAAACAAAAATTAAAGCATCCTTGAGTAATTTAGTTCAAATGGACACAAAAGCTTCCACGAATGAGCTACAGTAAGGAATTAAATGTTTAATACAGTACTACATTTTATATATACAACTAGAAATATGTCCTTAGGACATGAATGCCCCACCCAGGGTTTATTAGTAATGTAACTTGAAAAATTGTATCAATGTATGAAGCTAATGAAAGTATCTTGAATAGTTTCTTTATAGCTGAGTTTTATACACAAAAATTATTAAAGTCAAAGGTTATTGGGAAGGTCCAGGTGAAAAAAAATTAGACATAGTTGATGAATTCTAAGCAAATTATGTAACATTGCATAATCTTACATAAAATATCTTGAATAGTTTCTTTGAAACTGAGCTGAATGCAAATTTAAGTAAAGAGAGGTCAAGGTTAAAGGAAAGATCAAGGTTAAAAAGTAGTGTCTGTGATGCCGTTAACATTCACCAGAATTTATCAGCAAATAAAGTACGATAAAAAATATCTTGATTTGTTTCTAAAATCGGAATGAAATACACGTTTTAGAAGTGAGGTCAATTCCAAAGGAAAGATCAGGGTAAAAAATGCTGAGGAATTTGAATAGCTTTTATCAATATGCATAAGCATATTGAGTATGATAAAAATATCTCCACTAGTTTCTTCGAAAATTAGCTTAGGACAGATAATACAAACAAATAATGGATGCCTGGATTGGTATATATTTTTGGACCTATTTTGATTGTAAATGATGCAAAGAAAAAAATTCTAAAATATTAAGAATTTGTAAACTTTCTATAATGTTCAAAATTCTACCGTTCTACATCCCTCCTTATTAAAGTATACAATTTCGTGCCACTTAAAATCACATTATTGTGAAACGTTGAGTAAAAATTTAAAATCTATGCGGTTAGACTTATTAATTTTACTTATATAAACATGATTAAAGTTGTTATTTTCAAATTTTTTGATAAATTTTTTTTGTATCATCTGTTCTTAACACAAATTTTAGAAAAGTGAGGTCAAGGTCAAAAATTGTTCCTTGAAACTGAGCCAAACACTAGTTAAAGAAAAGCGAGATCATAGGAAAGGTAGAGGTAAAAAAAAAATTTGGTTGAATTACTTCTCATTGATATATACCAGCATAGAAGTTTGATTTCTTTAATAGAATTTTAAAACTTAGCTAAACACAAATTTATGAAAAGTGAGGTCAAGGTCAAAGGTCAATGTCAAAAATGTTGAAGCAGTTGATTAGCTCTCATCAGTTTGTATCAGCATATGAAGATTTGTTAAAATATCTTGAATTGTTTCTTTGAAACTTAGCTAAACGCAAAATGTGACGGAAGGACGGAAGACAGTCATGACAAATACTATATGCCCTGGCTATATTCATGGCAGAGCATAAAAAAGCAGGGTTTTGATTCGATCAAATTAAAATTTGCACCTATGAAGATTAAATGCGAGTTAATATAGCTGTTGAAGAAAGAGCACATTAGTGGGATGGGGTCTTTAACTGGCTCCCAGGCATAGCCAATATGACGCTGACTCCAGTCACGTTTGTTGTTATGTTAGATAACCTTATGCACATCATTTCGTTTGATATACGACCCTGATTTATGAAAGCTTCTCTTTTTTTGAGAACAAATGACCTTTTTAAACTGCCTTAAACCAGGCAATCTATTTCAAGTGATCTTTGTTGTAAATTACTAAGTAATTAGAAACACATGGGATTTCTTCGCCGATAAAAAAGAAGGACGTTTTATTTATAGTCTTTGTTATTCTTCCATCTTCTATTTACAATCTTAAAATGTGAATGATTTTTAGCTCACCTGTGCCGAAGGCTGATCGAAAGGATTATTTACTATTTGAAAAGAATTGACCCATAGGAGAGCACAATTTCCCGGAAAAGTCACTTTTAAAAACCAATCTTCATTATTTTTCAAATTTACATTTTGAACCTAAAATTTATTATTTACAACTTAAAAATTAACCTCCGAAGTTGCCCATAATAGCATTTTGTCCGTTAAAGCAGAGATTTTTGCAAGAATTTTGGCCTAGAAGTCCTTCAGGGCAGGCCTGCTACTAAATAAAATTGTGATATTTATTTTAGAAATACATTTATGTACAGATCTAAAGTTTTCAAACATTAGGAAAAATATATCTGTATCTAAACTCCCTTGGATTTAATTTTTATGATTTGTTTATATCAATGCCATGTTTTATTACATCAACGGAGATGTGCTGTAAAATAAACACACATCAAGAAAAAATAAGAATATAGACATTACCATTATTTACAATGAAAAGTAAGGGAAACATCAAATCAAATAACATTTTGAGATAACAAACTCAAAATGTGTTGACAAGGCCAAAATAAAAAAAATACCTTTGTTTCCCCTAACGCGACCGACCCAATTAAAACGCGCCGACTGGAAAGTTTTTTTCCCCAAGATTATTCAAATACTTTTTTATGTTTATCAACTTCTATAAAATAAAATTCCATCAAATCTGTTTTTAATCAGATCGAATGATTTTGTTCTGTGATTTTCAAGCGTTTATTGGAAACAAAATAGCGCCTACAACATATGGTCACGCAGGGTTAGTTCGTGTTTTAAAAGAGAGGCAACGCATCAACCTTATGCCTTTAGCATTTTAGAATCCTGCACTCTTGAAACACTTTTACGTCTATAAAATATAATATCCAATGACTAATTGAAAGTGATTGGGTTGTATTTACTAGCCTGTCTTAAAATTAAGGTACGTAGAGAACATGCTTAGGCCCATAGGCCCTCCTCATGATACCCCTCATGAGCAGACAAGGGGCCCACCTTGTGAAAACACCAATCAGTTTCATTGCATTTATTCAATTTGAGTTTTGATCTTATACACAGTTCATCAATATTCCAATGTTTACTATATGGGATCATAGGAGTTGTAAATAAGTCTGCATATTTCATCCTAATGAATAGAATTCAAATGTCCTTTATCCCTGCCTTTTAATCATGGCTCAAACTTCGTAACTTTGACATTGTGTATGACATGTTATCATTTCTAGATATTGTTTGCCTAAATTAAATATTGTTAACATGCTTTTTCCAAATAGATATGAAATTATGATACAAGCTTCCTGAGACATCCGTGTATTTTTCTTTAATAAGGCCCTGGAAGATTGGTTGTTTCTTTGATTGGAATCTCTTTGATAATTGTTGGGACAACAACATTTATTTAAACATTTTTCTGGTGAAGGACTCCAAATTTAGACGTGTACTCGGCACTTAAGGCCATGAGCAGTGAGGATTGTTTTTCCCGTGCCAGTATCTAATGTGTAACTGGACCTAAGTTTTTACTGTGCCATTCGAAGAACTGGTCTCAACGTCCCGCATTGTGATTTGAACCTGCAACTTGGAAATAGCTCCTTACTTCGAGACTCTAAAACGAAATGCTCTAGAAGCAATGCGCAATTCGAAGCCCTATAAAAAGGACAAAGCAATGGAAGCTGATAGTAGGTATAAAAAAACTCTGGTGTCCAGTCTTTGCGTACCCGAGAATCTTTTAAACAGATGTATTCGATTTTTAACAATTTTACTCTGGTATGAGATGGTTCGATTGAATAATAGTTGTGAATTAATTTACCTTAAATTTTGAGTTTAAACTGCATTTGTATGGTATTCTAGCTGTTTACAAATCACTTTCTTTTGTACTTAACTTATTTATAAAGATATCATTCCATTAAATTTCAAGAATGTATTTTCAAAGCTGCTGTCAAAAAAAAATTATTTCCCTACCTACCTACCCAACTTGAGATTTTAGGGTCGGGTTAGGGGAAACAAAGATATTTTTAATGATGGCCCAATATAATCATGCTTCATAATAAATGTTTATGGAAAGGTTCCTCCTATCTCTAAACACTATAATAAAATCAAAACGAATTATTGCATGTATGTAGCCTAAAGTCATTGACCGTAACGAAATCGACAAACTTTTTGTAAAGACTGACACCAATCCCGGCCCTAAAGGTCCAAGTTCTAAGGCTATTGTTCCTTTGTCTGTTGTGTTGTCGACTTTTTAGTCCCCTCCGGTTTCACCGGTAGGGGACTAAAAAGTCGACAACACAACAGACAAAGTCTGTCCGTCCGTCTGTCTGTCCGTCTGTCCCTCTGTCTGTCTGTCTGTCAGTCTGTCCAACTTGGTTTTCCGCATTTTTTTTCTAAACGCTTTCAGATATTAAACTGATTTTTGGTATGTGAGTGTATCTTGATGAGTTACAGATCAAGTTTGCATTTCGTTCTGCTTCAATGATTTTTGACGGAATTACGACCTGTTCAATTTTTGAGGGTTTTCCGCATTTTTTTTTCT